GGCAGGGCCAGGGCCCTGAGGAAGGGGAGGGAGGGACCAGGGCAGACCAGACACAAGAAGACGGGAGGACATGCCTCTGAGCCGAAGCAGAGAGGGGTGACCAAGGCGGTGGTGCCAGAGGAGAGTCTCGTGCGACAGGAGACGACACGAACAGGGGGCAGACTTAGGACCAGACCTGGACGCTGCAGCAAACACCTGACCCGACGCAGCTACCCTACCAGACTCAGCAACGGGAGGAGACGCAGTGGTCAGTGTGTACAGGCTCGACCCCGGCTGACGGGTAAACGTAGCCAGGTGTCGGCCTGTGCTAGCCTCGGTGCAGTGCGTCACCCGCCGGCGCGCAGGAGTGAACTGGTGGACACCCGCATCCTGTAGGTCAGCACCACTCACCAGGTTCGTAGAGAACGAGGGGAGGTAGAGACCAGACAGGGTGCCAGAGGGAGCCGCCGGACACGAGAGGACTGTAGAGAAGCGAGACACGACAGGACCCCCAGAGGGGTCAGCCAGAGACACCGCAACCGGCCGACTAAGCGGCGTGAGTGTGGTGCGGTCCCGAAAGAAGGAGCGAGAAGCCCCAGAGTCAAGGGTGAAGGTGAGGGAGGCCGAAGCTGACGCAGTACCTGAGAGCGCAGACTCACCAGTACCTGAGGGCGCAGACGCACTGGCACCTAGAGCAGCAGCCTCACCGGCACCTAGAGCAGCAGTACCAATGCCCGGGTCGGGCGGGAAACACTGGTAACAGTCACCCTCATCACAAATAGTCACAGCATACATTGCAGCAAGGATAGCATCAAAGTCAAGATCAAAGATAGCTACGCCTGCTCTAGACAGCTCTCCCCAGCGGGGGATCTCACTGGCCTCCGGGAACTGCTGACGCCAAGCGTCCGTCAGGCGGCCAAAGCAGCGCTGGGCGGTGTGGGCACCCCCACACTGCTCACCCGCGCGGTCGCCGGTGCGAAGGACGTAGGTGCAGGGACCAAAGCTCCCACCACGCTGACGCTGCGTGTACCACTCACGGAGCTGCTGAGGGGACAGGCCCTCACGACCTCGCTGCTGCTGCTGGCGCGTGGCACCACCGGAGCCACTCCTCTGCGAAGACCCGCGACCAGCTCCACCGCCACCCCTGCCGCCTCCGCCGCCTCCGCTCCTACTGCCGCCTCCACCACCGCCTCCACCGCCGCCACCTCCGCCACCTCCGCTCCCACCGCCGCCACCGCCGCCACCTCCGCCTCCACTGCCGCCATCGACACCTCCACCCCCACCTCCACTCCCACCGCCACCCCCACTCCCCCCGCCGCCTTCACCTCCACCTCCATCGCCCCCGCTCGCTCCTTCAGCGCCCCTGCCCCCCTTGCCCTTGCCAGAGCGGCGTCTCCCGCTAGGGGCAGACGCCGCACCGACCGACTCAAGACCAAGGAGGTCGGCCGCAGCAGTAGAGGCAACAGAGGGCAGAAGGGGGGAGGGGGAACACCCCTCAAAGATGGGGGTGCGCGGGTCACCACGAGAGGCCCCTACAGCGACTATGCCCTTCTCGGCCGCTAGGAGGGACTTCTCGAGGAGGTCTACAGTGAGAGTGGTGGGACAGATTGATAGGAAGTGGTCCCTGACTACGCGAAGGGAGTCAGGGAGACGAGTGACTATGTAGTAGAGGGTGATGTATATGGGGGGGGGTTCTTGGCGCAGAAGTCAGCAGGTAGTGCAGCGCAGTAGCGAGTGTCACTAGTACGGAGGTGCGTAATGAGGTCAGCGACTGTGGGAAAGGCAGCAAGGTCAAGGAAGAGGTACGGTAGCATGAGACGGCTCAGTGCAGCAGTGGCAGGGGGAGGAGTAGCGCGCAACTACAGCGTCGTACAAGGTCTGAGCACTCTTGTACTGACTAAAGTGCTTGCGCTCGGAGGTAGGGAGGTGGCGACGCACAGCAAGACGTGCAGCAGCGTCGCGCGTGGCCCACTGGGAGCGAACAGTGGCGTCAGCATCAACAGCAGGGGCAGAGGCAACGCTAGAGGTGAGGTCAAAGAGAGAGAGGCCGTCTGCCCTATCGCACTGTAAGAACAGCTGCAGGTCATCTACCCAGACCTCAAAGTCAATGGCCCTACCCTCAGCGTCAAAGGCGAGGACACTAGGAGTAGCCATGACCCTAGACGACCAGCAGTGCAAACAGTAGGGTGGGGGGGCAGTGCAGTGACAAAGGGGCTGTGCTCACCAGACTGAGCAGGTCGGGCGGCTCGGAAGAAGGGCGGCTTGGACGCTCGGCGGCTCGGTTGCTGGGCTGCTCAGCGGCTCGGCTGCTGGGCTGCTCCGCGGCTCGGCTGCGGCTCGGCTGCTGGGCTGCTCGGCGGCTCGGCTGCGGCTCGGCTGCTGGGCTGCTCGGCGGCTCGGTGGGTGAACGGCTCAGCGATGCAGCAGGTGACGGGCCGGGACAGGCGGCGCACGGGCGGTGAAGAGCCGGGACAGGCGGCGTGGGGCCGGGGCGGGTACCGCACGGGCGGCGACGGGCCGGGGCAGCTGCGCGGAGCCGGGACGAGCGACGCACGGGCGGCTACGGGCCGGGACAGCGGCGTGGGGCCGGGACCGGCGGCGCACGGGCAGCGTGGGGCCGGGACGGCGGCGCGGGGCCGGGATGAGCGGCGCACGGGCGGCGTGGGGCCGGGACGGCGGCGCGCGGCCGGGACGGGCGGCGCACGGGCGGCGTGGGGCCGGGACGGGCGGCGCATGGGCGTCGACGGGCCGGGGCAGCGGCGCGCGGCCGGGACGGGCGGCGCAAAGGCGGCGTGGGGCCGGGACGGGCGGCGCACGGGCGTCGACGGGCCGGGGCAGCGGCGCGCGGCCGGGACGGGCGGCGCACAGGCGGCGTGGGGCCGGGACGGGCGGCGCACGGGCGGCTTGGGGCCGGGACGGCGGCGCGCGGCCGGGACGGGCGGCGCACGGGCGGCATGGGGCCGGGACGGGCGGCGCACGGGCGTCGACGGGCCGGGGCAGCGGCGCGCGGCCGGGACGGGCGGCGCACAGGCGACGTGGGGCCGGGACGGGCGGCGCACGGGCGGCGTGGGGCCGGGACGGCGGCGCGCGGCCGGGACGGGCGGCGCACGGGCGGCGTGGGGCCGGGACGGCGGCGCGCGGCCGGGATGGGCGACGCACGTGCGGCGTGGGGCCGGGACGGGCGTCGCACGGGCGGCGTGGTGCCGGAACGGGCGGCGCACGGGCGTCTAAGGGCCGGGACGGGCGGCTAAAGGGGCCACTAGGGGCCGAGAGAGAGGGGAGCGCGACTCGGGAAGGGGCTGAGTGCGCTCCGGGCAGGAAAAAAAAACGGTGGGCCCTAGGAACAGTTCCCACGAGGGAACCTGCTCGATACCATGAGAAGAAACGAGAATGAATGAACTAACAGTGAAATGAGTACAAATAGGAAACCCTAGAAATGTGTACCCCCTATAGGCTAACCCACTGTAGCCTAAGTAACTACAACAACATATATAATGTTTGACATCATGCTAGCACGCGGTCGACCATGCTGAGCTGGCAATTAACCTGTGCATCCTAGCTCTGGTGTTGTCTTGCCTTGCCAACTTGATTGTACCATTGTTGTGAACTCTTGCTATTGAAACTCTTGCCAACTTTCCCCGTGAACCAGCAAGTAGTGCAAGTACGAGTAAATGCCTAAGTGAACGAACGCAGAGATCACACAAGCACCCGTGCCTAGCCTGTAGTCTAGTTCCCGTTGTAGTAGTTATCTCCGCAAGATTACGACGGGCCATCGTTGTCACTTGCCGCATGGGACGACTCTGAAATTGTCGCGCAACTATTGACCCAGGTCCAACGGCATCAACTGCCACACACGATGACGACTTCCGCAAATTTCGTGCAGGTGCCGACGCAGGTCCGCTGACACCAGCTTCTTCACAAAGTTTCGAAATCGTCGTTAAAACCGCAATAGAATAGTAACTCACGTTCAATGCCGCGATAGCTACTGCTGCCCGTTGGCCGGGGGGAGGGAGGTCACGGTCGATCGCGACCGTTCGAGGTAAGGATCTAGCGGTGCCAAAGGAGCGCCCCGTAAATCTATGGCCGCAAGGAGCAACTAACTCGTTCTCCTGGCCGGCCTACGCAACTTCCGGACCCCAAGACATCCCGAGGGGTATTACACTCTAAAAAGCAAGGTAGGCTAGGAAAGTCGCTCTGATACCAGGTGTTACGAATAAACTTGCAGAGCACGCGAAACTAATAACGAGAATGATTGACTACTGAATGACGATACAATGAAAGTAGCGAAGCCTTAATAAGGGAATACCTATCTAGGCGGGGAGGTGGGGAAAGGTTTGGCTCGCGAAGGGTCGAGATTGGTGCGGAGGCGGCTCGGTGAGGCTTGGGTGCTAAATTGTAGGCCAAACCAGTTGGTCGCGTGGCCCTGGTGATGGTCTCGCTAAAGAGTGTCTCAGTAAGGATTTCTAAATCCTTACATGCTTCATGGGCTCCTTCCATGCGCGTTTCTGTGTTTCTGTTTTCAAGCCCTCCAAGCACCAGCCAGCCCGCCATTTCGCCTTCACCTTCCTTTTCCGATAGTCATCACTCCTCACGCCCCTCTGTCAGTCGCTATTCCTGGGAAGTGTGCTGGTCTAGGAGTATTTTCGCAGGCGACTTCCTTCCGCTGCTTAATTAACCGCCGTTAGTCGCTCTCTCATTTCGCCTGAAGCGTTGTCGTGTGCTGGACCCGCTCCGCCTGCGCCTCGAGGGCGACAAGTCTGTGCCAATCCGTCTCGTGTCCTGTTCATTCCTTCCGCGGTCCGATTGTAAATCCCGCCCTTGAACGCATGCCAACAAAAGTCATGACGGATTTGGGATCAGCAGATATGATTTCAAGCGGAGCAGAACTTCCAGTCCCTTCAGATTTCCAAAGCTTCCATTTCCTACTCAATCATTCGAGTTTCTCGGTGTTCCCTGTACCGCTTGAACCGACGTGAACAGCCATGGCATCGAAGAACATCCTCATTATAGCCGTCCTCGCAATGCTCCTCGTGGGCCTCGCGGTTGCCGACAATCAGGATCGCAAGCGGGACGGCACGGGCAACCAGGACCGCGACAGGAAGCGCGACGGCTCGTGCGCCAAATCCGGCACGTGCACCGGCAACAAGAACGGCGGCAACCCCGGTGGTCGCGGCGGCAATGGCGCTGGGAGGGGGAATCAGGGGAAGAAAGGCACGGGGATGTGCAACAAAAGCGGCAGCGCGAGTTGCGACGGCAGCGGGCGGAAGAACGCGGTGATGGCGAGCGCAAATGCGGTGGCGGCTGCTGACGTGGCGGCAGCTGACGTGGACGTGCAGGCGTGTGACGGGGCGAAGCAGGCGGGGAAGCTGATGAGCGGATTGAGAAAGAGCGGATTCAACAAGTTCGCGGCGGCGCTGCAGCATACAGGTGCGCTGTGCGCCCCTGCTGGCGCTGTCCCTGTCCAGCCGCTATCGTTTTCCCTTTTCTGATCCCTCTCCCTCACCCTCTCCCTCTCCCTCTCCCTCTCCCTCTCCCGCTCCCTCTCCCTCTCCCTCTCCCTATCCCTCTCCCTCTCCCTCTCCCTCTCCCTCTCCCTCTCCCTCTCCCTCTCCCTCTCCCTCTCCCTCTCCCTCTCCCTCTCCCTCTCCCTCTCCCTCTCCCTCTCCGTCTCACCCGCCATCCCATCTGCCACCTCCTGCCATCCCCGTGTGCCCCACCATCCCACCAGGCCTGGCGGCGGAGTTCCCGGAGGTGATGTGCGGGCAGGGGGGCGGGGTGACGGTGCTGGCCATCCCCGACGCGCCCATGGGGCAGCTGCCCCCTTCAGTGCGAGGGGACCCGCTGATGCTGAGGGAGCAGCTGCTGCTGCACGTCGTCAAGGGCGCCCGCCCCTACTCCCGCATGCAGGCGCGCGGCAAGAACTACAAGGTCAGAAGCAAGCATTTCTGTGCTACCTTCCCCTGCATTTAATTTCCGACTCCCACCGCCGCCCTCCCCCTCTCTCCCACGCCTATGCCTCCTTCTCTCCCCACCCCCTGCCCTCCCTCACCTCTCACCCCTCGCCCTCCCTCTCTCTCCATGCCTCGCCCTCACTCTCTCCCCAATCCTTCTCCCCCCAAACCCCACTCTCGCGCCCGCAGTTTGCCTGTGCGGCGGGGGCGGGGGCAGGGCGGCTGGTGAAGGCGAGCCAGGGCAGCGCGGCGCTGGTGCTGCGAGTGGGCAGGGGGTGGGGGCAGGCAGCAGCCGTGACGCGCCCCGATGCCTTCCGGTGCACGGGGGGGGCGGTGCACGGAGTGAACTGCGCGCTGGGCTTGGGGCGCATGGGCAGGCCGGGCAGGCGCGTGCCTCTGGGGCAGTGCCTGCGCAACGGGAGCGACCAGGATGATGACTAGGATGAGGGGGGGGAGTGGGAGTGAGTAGGAGAAGAGGGGTGGAGGCGGTTGGTAGAAAGGTGAGGCGAGGCCGAAGCATGGGTGGGTGCGTAGTTGGCAGGAGTAAGCACTGGGTGCTGTTCCATCAAACATGTAGTGTGCGTGGGATGATAGTGTATGAAGCGGTTGGTTGCATGAGAGGGTGTACAGGGGTCAGGGAAGGATTGGCGGAAGGGAGTTGAGGAAAGCAGGGTGGGTGCAGAGTCGGTGTGGTGCTGTTCAATCAGTGTCTGTGCAATTATCTGCAGGAGAGGATGTACAGGGGAGAGGGATTGGCGGTAGGGGGTCGAGGAATGCAGGGTGGGTGCAGGAGTTAGCATGGCATGTTTTTAGCAGGGTTTGTTCAGTGAGTTTGTTCTGGCGTGTGTTTTCATAGCTCCGTGATGTGTTTTTTTTCCTAATTGCTTCCTTGCCTTTTTTTATGTTCACTGGAATAAAACCCATTTTGGCGACAACTTCGCTGCTGTGGTTGGTGCACTGGCATCATCTAGTGCATTTGCCTTACAAAGAACTTCTCATGTCTTCTCTTGTCAAAGGAATAGATCTGTGAATAACCGAAACTCTGCTCGCAGAATTACAGTGTCACACACGTCCCCTGTTACCTTACCTATTAGTTGCATAACGTATTCTCCCATACGTAGGACCCTCCCCCCGCCAAGAGGTCCTGGGGGTCCTATACACGGCTCAAACAAGGGAGTTCCTGTACATGTTGTCAAGGTAACGTGCATCGAGGATGACATTGACCGCAAGCGAATTACCAAAAGGAAGCGCGAACTGTCAAGAACTCAAATTCACCGCATGTCTTGAAATTTGGTAAAGGATTAGGAAGGGTAAATAGCAAGTAGAGAGAAAGAAAAACACCTAGAAGAAAGAGTTAAGAGTGAAGTAAGACAAATTTGATGAGATAAAGAAACTCTTTGAGAAGAGATTAAGTAAGAATTTGAAGACTTTAAATAAGAAGGTTAAAGAGAAAAATAACAACTTGAAAGAAAGATGATGAAAACATTAAAGGGAAAGAGCAATTGATTGGAAGAAAGGTATTGAATGGGTGATTGATGAAAAGGTAAATGAGCTTGAAAATTAAACAAACTTGATAATGACAACTAAGATTTGATAGGAAAGGAGATTTGATAAGAATGAAGAAGCTTTAAATAGGGAAGCTTGAATTGAGAAGCTTGACAAGAGTGAAAGGAGGTGACTTACCTTAAAGACTCTTACTTGTCATTTTGAAGGAGCTTTGTAACTTGAAGAAGCCAAGCTTGAATTGTGAATCTTGATTGTTGGAAAGAGAGTGAGATCCAAGCTTGATTGTTGAGTAGTAGATGTTGATTGTTGAGTGGAGAAGCACCTTCCAAGCTTGAGTGTTGAGGTGTAGATCTTGTTTGTTGTGTAGAGAAGAACCTCCAATGATTGTTGAGTGAAGAAGGTGAAACTTGAGTCTTGATTGGAAGAAAGTCAAAGTTGATGTTGAGGCCTTAAAACTTAAAATGCACTAGTCCAAAGGAGGTACATGATGGACTTGAAGAGCAACCATTGATTAACAATCTAGTAGAAAGACTATGAAGCATAAACTTCTCTAGAGTTGGAGAACATGGCTATGAGCTTGGGTTGGGAGAGGTTGAGGTGATGAGTGGAGCCTTAGGAGTTGGGCATGAGGAGGAGGACTTTGAAGTGGCCTTGAGAGAGCTTAGAGTAGAACTTGTTGAGATGAAGCATAAACTTCTCTAGAGTTGGAGAACATGGCTATGAGCTTGGGTTGGGAGAGGTTGAGGTGATGAGTGGAGCCTTAGGAGTTGGGCATGAGGAGGAGGACTTTGAAGTGGCCTTGAGAGAGCTTAGAGTAGAACTTGTTGAGAGCTTGGGTAAAAATTGCTTGAAAAGTATGAGTAAAGAATGGGGTGGACCCTTTGTTTTGTATTTGGTGGAGCTTGAGGTTGGATGAAGGAGAGGAGGAGATGAATGATTGTGATTGGTTAAGTTGGATAAGGTGGGGGTGGTGAATGTGGCCTTGAAGTTAAGGCTTGGTGAGTGGGATGAATGTGGCCTTGAAATTAAGGCTTGGTGAGTGGGATGAATGTGGCCTTGAAATTAAGGCTTGGTGATTGGAATGAATGGGGCTTTGATTTAAGGCTTGGTAGGGAATCTTTGGATTGATTGGTGGAGTTTGGGATGAGAAGGTTGAGGAGGATTGGAGAAGAGATGAGGTGGAGGATTGAAGGATTTGTATTGGGTGAAAATGGAAGTGTGTCTTGCTGACTGGAGATAAGGATGATGAAGTGGCGAATGGGTAATGTTGGTAGATGCCCTTTGCAGATTCGAATTTTGGCTGACGGGGAAACTGTGGCGAAAATTTTCGCCACGTGATTTTTTTTTTTTTTTTTCCCGCCACCCTGGTGCCACGCGAGCAGCAGCAGCAGTTCATTTCAACACCCCCCCGCACTGCTGACCCTCCGAGCGAGAAGAATGAGCGGAAGGGACAGCAGTGGAGAAGCACCCAAGAGACTCGATCGGCATCAATCCGGCACGGTGGCGGCCAAGAAGAAAGAGGTGCCGGGGGAGGATCTTAGTCAGGAAGTCAGCAGCCTGGTCCGTGGTGCTGCAGTAGGTCGGTGCCACAACTTTGTTCTTGATCAGCTCTCGAATGTAGTGATACTGGGTATCAATGTGCTTTGTGCGTCCATGATAGACCGGGTTCTTGCTCAAGGCGATCGCCGATGTGTTGTCAATGTGAAGAATGGTCGGCTCATGCTGGGGAAGACCCAACTCTGTCAGCAACCCTCTCAACCACACAGCCTCTCTTGCTCCTTGCGTCACAGCCATGTACTCCGCCTCCGTTGAAGATAATGCCACACAGCCTTGCTTCTTCGATTGCCAAGAAATGGCTGCTCCCGCTATCACAAACATGTAGCCGCCAGTGGACTTCCGCTTTGAAAGAGGACCTGCCCAATCCGCATCCGTGAAACCATGCATGACACTACCATGCTCATGTCCATGAAAGAAGAGACCAAAAGATTTAGATCCGGAGAGGTAGCGCAGGACACGCTTCGCAGCATTCAAGTGCTGAGTAGATGGCGCGGAAAGGAACTGAGAAAGCACGCCCACAGCATGAGAGAGATCTGGGCGAGTGCAGACGGATGCGTACATGAGGCTACCGACAATGCTCTGGTAAAGATTAATGTCGAGAGGGGAAAGGAGTGATGAAGGAGGTGCGTTGGAAGAAGAAGGGGATGAAGAGGATGAAGGTGCAAGAGCCTCGTGGAACTCGTCCCAGTCAGAAAAGGGTTCAGTCTGAGAGGGCTGATGGTCAGAAGTGGAAGGGGAAGAATGCTGAAAAGTAGAAGGGAGAGGTGTAGATGCAGGATTGCAGGCAAGAAGGCCGAAGCGAGAGAGGACCTTGTGAATGTATCGCTCTTGGGAAAGAAATAGAGAGCGAGAAGAACGGTCACGAATGATGTTCATGCCAAGGTAATATGATGGCTCACCCATGTCTGTCATGACAAACTCTTTGGTGAGCATACCTTTGATGTGGGTGAGAAGGGAGAGAGAACCTGACACCATGAGGATGTCATCCACATACACTATCAACCACAGTACCTCATGCACCTCCGTGTGCAGGATGTAGAGGGCAGGGTCATACTCAGACTGTGTGAAACCTTGTGCCAGCAAGGCAGACTCTAACGCGTGATACCAAACCCGTGGAGCTTGCTTCAGGCCATACAGGGACTTGTGCAGCCTGCAGACTCTCTCAGTGCCATCATGATACCCATCAGGTTGAGCCGTGTAGATTTCTTCCTCTAAAATGCCGTAGAGAAAGGCGTTGGAGACGTCCAGCTGGATGATGTAGAGATCCATTCGTACTGCCATACCAAGAAGAGCGCGTACACTGGTAAACTTGGCGACTGAAGCAAACGTTTCATTGTAGTCTTCTCCAGGAACTTGAGAATATCCTTTGGCGACCAAACGAGCCTTGAACTTGTCCAAAGATCCATCACCCTTCACCTTCACCCGGTAGACCCATTTAACTCCCACAAGCTTCTTTCCCTTGGGTAGTGGCTCCAAAGTCCAAGTCCCTCGGTCAAGCAAACTTTCCAGTTCTGCCTTTTCTGCTGCTAACCACTGCTCCTTAAAGGCTCCTGCCATAGCTTCCTTGCGATTGAGAGGCTCGGGTGGAAGTTGGGAAATGGCAAAACAGGTGGCGTGAATCCTGCATTGGAAGCAGGTACGACCGCTACACAAATGACCTGGGGTTGAGATTAAAGTGGACACCGGCACATGAGAGGTGACGTGCGCAGATGACGAAGAAGATGAAGATGGTGCTGCAACGTGTGACGTGCTCATCGCTGGTGGGTAGTTGATGTCGATTCGGTTGGGTGAGGGAGGTGGTGCTGCCGGTTGAGAATGATCTTCTGATGAAATTCTATCAGTCGGAGTTGTCGAATGCAGGTGCTGGAGATTGGAAGATGTGTGCTGTTGTGTTGGTGGTGGCTGCACGGTTGACGGTACGTGTTCAAGATGGTCTGGAAGGTGAAGAAGGGCTGCTGGTCGATAACCACTTGGTCGATGAACGACGAGAGGCGGAAGTGACGGGTGAAGAGAGTGAGTGGCAGAGGGGTGTTGTTGTTGCTGCTGGTCCTGCTGGTGAGTGGGGGAAGATTGAAGAGGAGGAGGTAAATTGGGTGGAGATGGTTGTTGTTGCTGCTGCTGAAGCGAATTAATTGGGGGTTGAGGAGGAGGATGAGATGAAAGAACAGGTGGAGCAGTTGACTGGTTTTGTTGTGATGGAGGTGGTGGTGGCTGCTGCTGCTGTTGCTCTTGATGATGAGAGGTGGGTGCAGAAGATGATGGAGGTGGTTGTTGGTCTTGAGCATGAGACATGTCTTCGTGTTGCTGCTGCGGTGATGATGCAGGAACTCCACTTAGTATGATTGTTGGAGGTTCGAAATCTGCAAAGGTAGAGAAGGGAGGAACTTGAGAGGAAACAAGAGGAAAAGAAAGTTTCCAAGAAGAAGGGGACATGTCTTCATAGAAGATCACGTCCCTTGACATAATGTCTCTTTTGAGGAGAGGATCCCACATTAACCAGCCTTTACTCTCCTTGGCCATGCCCAGATGCATGCCCCATGCTGCCTTACTTTCAAACTTGCTGCGTTTGTCATCTAGCACTTTGTACTGACCCATGCAGCCAAATACTCGCAGCATGGACACATTTGGCTTTATGCCATATAATGCCTCATAGGGTGTAATACCCTCAGCAATGGAGCTTGTCAGTCGACGATTCTTGACCCAAGCAGCATGTGTAACAGCTTCTCCCCACCATGAGTCATCTAGATTCATGTGGGAGAGAAAACTTCTTGAGATCTCTTGAATCGTACGGTTGTACCTCTCAGCAGTACCATTTTGTTGAGGTGTTGCTGTGCATGACAATTGCTGTTCAACTCCAAGGCTGGCAAGAAAAGAGCGGAAAGAGTTAGACATGTACTCTCCTCCACGATCAGAGCGAAAAATTTTGACCTTGAGACCCAACTGACGCTCAATATAAGGAAACCAGGACTGGATAATACCGGGAGCTTCATCTTTAGATCCAAGAAGAGAGATCCAAGCAAATTTTGTATGATGGTCAATGAGTGACATTACATATCTTTTCCCAGTACGACTTGGTGTACGGGAAGGACCCATCAGGTCACTATGAATAAGCTCAAGCGGTTGAGAGACTTCAGACTCAGAAGAATAGAAAGGATGACGAGGAAGCTTAGCCTCAACACAAGTGTGGCATGATGACTGAGATGATGAAAACTGCTTGGAGATGATGAGACCATCAACACTTGCATGTGCTTGCATGCGTGTGATGCTAGACTCTTCAGGGTGACCGTAACGACAATGCCAGGTGTAAGGAGATGCAGATGTACCAGGATGAAGTCTTACTGAGGTGGTGGCAGCAGCAACTGAGGGACTGCTGTAGGGCTTGGCAGGTGGCTGTGCATCAATCTCCACTCGATAGAGACGTCCACTACGAACACCTCTTGCAATGTAATGTCCAGTTGGAGCACGAACCTGCACAGAACCATCTGAGAAAGAGATGGAAATACCTTTCTCTTCCATTTGACCAATTGAGAGAAGGTTCGCCCCTAGTGAGGGGACAAGCAAGATGCCTGAGAATGACATATGAATTCCCTCTGGACTGAGAAATGTCATTGTTCCTTCTGCTTGAACTGGCACCGAATGGTTGCTGGCAACAACAACTTCTTTCACATTGGAGGGCTTGAGGCTGTGAAGGAGGGAGGCATGAGGGGTCATATGTTGATCACATCCACTGTCCAAAAACCAAATCTTGGGATCCTGTGTCAATGCATGCAGACAAGAGGATGATGCAAATGCGAAACTCGGTGCATTGGATTTAGTAGAGTCCCTCTCATGTGAAACGACTCCTGTGGTGGCTTGAAGAGGCGCCTCTGGTGTGGGAGGTTGTGGCATAGAGGAAGCAGAGACATGGTTTTGAGATGACACTTTGGAAACATTCTGAAAGAGTGCCCCATGATGCGCACTGTCTGGTTGATTTTCTGGAGGGGTATGGGATGTAATAGCAATGGCGGCCCTTCCTTTGTCAGAGATCAGAGATGAAGGTGGTGTCCAGTTTGCAGGACGTATGTTGCACTTGAACCAAGGATGTCCCCATTGATGACAGTAATGACACTCAAATTGATACCTTGACTTTGGCTTATAAGGAATATGATTAGAGTATGATGCAAGCTGAGAAACATGACTTAGTGTGGGTTGTCCAAGAAGAGAGTGTGTTGGGGTTTGAAAGGACTTACCTTGCTGAAACTTGCTCTGTTGTTGAACACCTTGTTGAGGGCGATAGTTGGAACTTGTCATTCCACTCCATGCTGGTCCAGGGTTTCTCTGAAGCTTTGCAAGCTCTCTCGTCTGATGTTCGGTGATGAGCGTGTTGAAGATGAAGTCTCGGGTCCTTATCTCCTCAGGAAAGGCTTGAATGGTGCTTCTCATAGTGCTCCATCCGGATGAAAGTCCCGCTAGGAGAATGGTGATGAAGAGAGATTCCGGGACCTCAATGTCGAGAAGTGTCGCTTCGTAAAGGACCATTTCACCACGTTGTAAGTAGTCAGGGATGGTTTCACTCTCCCCCATGCGGAGAGAGACAATCTTGTTCCACACTTCTGCCTTAGAACCTTGGGAAATAGGTTGATGAAGACGTTTGAGCCGCTCCCAAGCAGCTCTGGCACTGTCTTTTTGAGTTGATACGAGGAGGAGGGGTTGAGAGTAGGGGTCTTGAATGGAAGAGAGGAGATAGAGATAAGCTTCAGCATTTTTCTTGATCCAGTTACTCTGTTCTTGATCAGGTGCAGCAGTTGAAGGGGGAGTGTTTTGGCCAATGTAGATAGGCCAAAGATCAAGAAGAGTGGCGGCTTGTTGAAAGCGGATGCTCCATGATGAAAAACCTTTGCCGTTGAAGCGTGGAAGCTCCAATTTGGGGACTAAGGAGGAGGTAAATGTAGATGTAGTAGGTGGTGTAGATGGAGATGATGTGTTGGTTGTAGGAGGTGCTGATTCGTTTGAAGAGTTGGTGGTTACAGCTGGTGAAGTTGATCCCATGGGAACACTTGAGTCCTTTTCATCCATGTTGGGAGATTAAAACTCCTGATAAAATCAAACAACTTCACACAAGGGGAAGGGGAAATAGACAAGCACACACACACACACACACACAAGAACAAAGAAAGGGGAAACACAAAAGGGAGGACCCCAAAGGGGGCACAAGACCAGGTGCAAGGATGCCACTAATGGCAAATAATGGGCTAAAACAAAACCTAGACAAGATGCGCACGGAAGAGACAGCAAAAAGGAATGAACTCGAGCTCTGATACCATCTTGAAATTTGGTAAAGGATTAGGAAGGGTAAATAGCAAGTAGAGAGAAAGAAAAACACCTAGAAGAAAGAGTTAAGAGTGAAGTAAGACAAATTTGATGAGATAAAGAAACTCTTTGAGAAGAGATTAAGTAAGAATTTGAAGACTTTAAATAAGAAGGTTAAAGAGAAAAATAACAACTTGAAAGAAAGATGATGAAAACATTAAAGGGAAAGAGCAATTGATTGGAAGAAAGGTATTGAATGGGTGATTGATGAAAAGGTAAATGAGCTTGAAAATTAAACAAACTTGATAATGACAACTAAGATTTGATAGGAAAGGAGATTTGATAAGAATGAAGAAGCTTTAAATAGGGAAGCTTGAATTGAGAAGCTTGACAAGAGTGAAAGGAGGTGACTTACCTTAAAGACTCTTACTTGTCATTTTGAAGGAGCTTTGTAACTTGAAGAAGCCAAGCTTGAATTGTGAATCTTGATTGTTGGAAAGAGAGTGAGATCCAAGCTTGATTGTTGAGTAGTAGATGTTGATTGTTGAGTGGAGAAGCACCTTCCAAGCTTGAGTGTTGAGGTGTAGATCTTGTTTGTTGTGTAGAGAAGAACCTCCAATGATTGTTGAGTGAAGAAGGTGAAACTTGAGTCTTGATTGGAAGAAAGTCAAAGTTGATGTTGAGGCCTTAAAACTTAAAATGCACTAGTCCAAAGGAGGTACATGATGGACTTGAAGAGCAACCATTGATTAACAATCTAGTAGAAAGACTATGAAGCATAAACTTCTCTAGAGTTGGAGAACATGGCTATGAGCTTGGGTTGGGAGAGGTTGAGGTGATGAGTGGAGCCTTAGGAGTTGGGCATGAGGAGGAGGACTTTGAAGTGGCCTTGAGAGAGCTTAGAGTAGAACTTGTTGAGATGAAGCATAAACTTCTCTAGAGTTGGAGAACATGGCTATGAGCTTGGGTTGGGAGAGGCTGAGGTGATGAGTGGAGCCTTAGGAGTTGGGCATGAGGAGGAGGACTTTGAAGTGGCCTTGAGAGAGCTTAGAGTAGAACTTGTTGAGAGCTTGGGTAAAAATTGCTTGAAAAGTATGAGTAAAGAATGGGGTGGACCCTTTGTTTTGTATTTGGTGGAGCTTGAGGTTGGATGAAGGAGAGGAGGAGATGAATGATTGTGATTGGTTAAGTTGGATAAGGTGGGGGTGGTGAATGTGGCCTTGAAGTTAAGGCTTGGTGAGTGGGATGAATGTGGCCTTGAAATTAAGGCTTGGTGAGTGGGATGAATGTGGCCTTGAAATTAAGGCTTGGTGATTGGAATGAATGGGGCTTTGATTTAAGGCTTGGTAGGGAATCTTTGGATTGATTGGTGGAGTTTGGGATGAGAAGGTTGAGGAGGATTGGAGAAGAGATGAGGTGGAGGATTGAAGGATTTGTATTGGGTGAAAATGGAAGTGTGTCTTGCTGACTGGAGATAAGGATGATGAAGTGGCGAATGGGTAATGTTGGTAGATGCCCTTTGCAGATTCGAATTTTGGCTGACGGGGAAACTGTGGCGAAAATTTTCGCCACGTGAATTTTTTTTTTTTTTTTTCCGCCACCCTGGTGCCACGCGAGCAGCAGCAGCAGTTCATTTCAACAGCATGTTCTATCCCGCGCGGCGCGATCTGGGTCTCGTTTGTCACCAAGATCAGCAAAAAATTCACACACCACACGGCAACAACATCGCAGGCGGTCAAGAATCTAACACCACAGATGAGGTGCCACATCGGATGCGTCATCGAAGTGCTGAAGTGACAAGATCGAGTGTCGTCCATCCAACGGCTCCGTGCGTCTTGACTCTTGATAGGCCATTTGGTTCGTTGCGCACGCCCCAACACAATCCAAGCAGCCAGCCAGCCATCAGTTCAGTCCCTTCGCTTGCTGCGAAGTGCACTGGTCACCCCTCCGTCCCTCCCCTCTTTCAGCACTGCTCCAGCTTGCTTTGTTGTGACTTGTGTCTGATCTGAGCTGTATTCCCACGGGGCCCGCGAATTGGTGGCCGCAATTTTCCCTGCTGTCACTGTAACACCCAACAGTTGGCGGTCGTCATGCCAGGCGATATTCCCGTCAGTAAGTCTCGTTCCGTCGTTGCAAGCCACCATAGTAAAATTGAAGGCCAACCAAAATACTACATCGTGTGAAGTCTCTAAAATGGTGCACTGTCACAATTTTTTTTTGTCTCGCAGGTGCTGTGTGTGGGGTGCCAAGAAGTGGAATAAAAACGGTGGTTGAAATATTCGGCCATACTTCCCCTACTAAAACTTATGTATCTGCAAGTATTGCATCAACCCATCTGAATGTGATACGACGCACGCTAGCGTCCAACTGGATCGCGAGAGAATACAACTATCGCTATCTGTCGTAATTTTCATTTATCGTTTCCATCCGGTCCTATCACATTGCACTCGTCGCAGGCAAACAAGATCCAGCGGCGGCAAACCCCGCAGCATGGGCGCAGCTGCAGCAGCTCCCCCCGTCCGACCGCCTGCACACGGCGGTGCTTCCCAAAAGCGGAAGCCTGCAGGGCGGTGGCACGGCGACGGACGGCGGAAAGAAGGGGGCGGCAGCGGAGCTGGCGCAAGTGGACCTGCGCGCGCTGAGCCACGCGCAGCGGGAGCGGCTGGTGGAGCGCGCGCTGGAGACGCTCGATCAGGACAACGAGGCGTTCCTTACGAAGCTTAAAGCCCGCCTCGACCGGTGAGGTTCTCTACGAGGCCGGCTGAGCATCGCCGCCGCGGAACCGCGGGCGGCGAGACGTTGGAAGACAGTCGGGAGATCGCTGGGAAAGCCTGGAGCCGAGCCGCATGGCTCCTTTCTTGTGAGAAATTGCGTTGACGGGTTGCATCGAGATGTCATGAGGGGAATGTAAGGTGTGATCAACGTTACTGTTTCAGAGAAAGTACGGGATGCGGTTTTGAATGCGCTTTGCTGTGCGTAGTCTAACCTTCCCTCCTTCCTCTCCCCCCCCTTCGCATCCTTTCCGCTCTCATCCCTCCCTCCTCCTAAACCTGCGCCGCGGAATGTCGTCCAATGGCGAGCAGCGTGGGGCTGAGCGTGCCGGCGGTGGAGGTGCGCTTCGAGGACGTGCATGTCGAGGCGGGCGTGTATGTCGGCACGCGCGCGCTGCCCACGCTCCTCAACTTCACGCGCAACTCGCTCGCCGTGAGTCTCGCTCGCCGCGAATCGCATTCGCGCGCCGTGAATCGCACTCGCCGTGAGTCGCGCTCGCCGTGAGCCGCCTCTCTCGTATTTCCCGATCGCCTGCGCGCATCCGCACTTCACTCCCTGGTCCCCCAATGTCGCTCTTTCGTTTTAATCATCCTTCTTCGCCTTGGATCTTCCTCTTCCCCCTCACCCACCCACCACCCTCCCGAACCCTCCCCCCCCGGGTTCCTCCTCAGGCCGCGCTGCACTCACTGGGCGTGGAGTTGGATGCGCGCCGCCCGTATCCGATCCTGCACGGGTGCTCGGGCGTGCTGCGGCCGGGCCGCATGACGCTGCTGCTGGGGCCGCCAGGCGCCGGCAAGTCAACGCTCTTGCAGGCGCTCGCGGGCTGCCCCGATAAGTCGCTCAAGGTGCGTCTTTGTATCGGAGATTTGACTGAAGGCTTCATCACGCAAAGGAATTGGCACAAATTTGGTCGCCGACGATCTCCCTTCTAGAAAGTGTCCAGAAAACCACAAAAAGCTTTAGAAAATAGAGTGAGTCTGGGCCTATGTCGGAAGTTACGCGTTTAACGTATTATACGCGGCCTGAAGTTCGCATGTCCGGGCAGAGAAAACGTTTTCCCGGGAAGGGGGGGACATTTCTCCCAGGGGAAATGCGGGATGAAGGTGGTCCCTTTTCTGACTACGTCCTGCCTTCGCGTAACCTAAGGTCCCTACGGCGGGTGGCGAAGCAGGTGGAGCAGACATCGGTGCTAGTGGATTGTGGGAACTTGAGGAAAGTGGGATTGAAAGCAAGAAATGACGACTTTAGGGTTGGGCTGGCTGGTAAGTAGCGCGAGAATTGCTGAGACCGCGTTTTGACGGGTTGGAGCTGGTAGATGGAGTGGGATTCAATGCGATACAGTTGTTACTTTGTCAGCAGAAAACTTCGAAGCCACATTTCGACCACGTGCTAGACAGCCGATTTGCATTTCTAGTTCAGCGAAACGCTTAGCGGGAAACCCGTGTCATTATTACATTTGCGTTCTCTTTTTACTTGACAGCCCAATTTTTTTTCGTGTGTATGGGATATATCCGCGCTATACGCTTGGGGGCCCGAGCGTAAAGGCCAACGAAGGTCTGGGTGACTTCCAATGAGGCTTTAAACCCTTTGTGCTTCTCCTCCTCCTACCTTTCCCTTCCCTCCTCCCCCTCATTTTCCCTCTATCACAGGTATCTGGCAGCGTGACCTATAACGGGCATGCTCTTAACGAGTTCGTACCAGAGCGCACAGCAGTGTACGTGCCGCAGAACGACGAGCACATCGGCGAGATGACCGTCCGGGAGACCCTCGACTTCTCCGCGCGCCTGCAGGGCCCGGGGCTCAGGAAAGGTGCGCGTGTGCGCCTGTTGGGAGGGGGAAGAATGGTGGGCTTCTGGATGGGTGGGTTGCGCTGGGGTTTAGGTTAGGGGGGTTGTGCAGACTCCCCTGCGTGCCTGCAGGGTCCGGGCCTGCCAAAATGTGCGTGGGAAAGAGGGTTCTTCTTTGTGTTTGAGTCCATTTCCCATTTCCGCTGGCCTTTTCTCTCTATTTCTTCCACTAATACTCTCACGGTTTCACCCCACTCAGCTATCCCCGTAGCCTCCATTCCCTCTCTCCGTCCACCCCCCCCTCTCCCCAACATTCCCCCTTCTCTATCCCGTTCACCCCCGCACCCCCTGGTGGCGCATACCTAGTGGCGGAGCTGGAGAGGCGCGAGGTGGAGCAGGGCATTGTACCGGACCCTACTATGGACGCCGTCATGAAGGTGAGGTGCTATCATGGCAGCATGAAGGTGAGGTGCTGTCATGGCAGCATGAAGGTGAGGTGCTGTCATGGCAGCATGAAGGTGAGGTGCTGTCATGGCAGCATGAAGGTGGGGTGCTGTCATGGCAGCATGAAGGTGAGGTGCTGTCATGGCAGCATGAAGGTGAGGTGCTGTCATGGCAGCATGAAGGTGAGGTGCTGTCATGGCAGCATGAAGGTGGGTTGTGTGTTCGTTTGCTGTTGAGCGTATGGTGCTGTGATATCGGGTGAACATTTCGGCGTGTGTGGGAATTCACTCTGTTGATATTCTGCTTGCCTGCCTTCACCCCTGGTGCTCCACATGCCACGTGTCTTCCATCCATTGCTGTCCATATCACTATTAATCCTCCATGCTACTCCGGCCCCCATTTCACCTCTCTCCATGCTAGGCGATGGCACTGGAGGGCAACCCCACCAACATCATCACAGACTATGTGCTCAAGGTGAGGCTCATGGGGTGGTGGTGAGCATGGTGGTGAGCATGGTGGTGCGGTGAGGCTATGTGCTCATTGTGAGCAGGCAGCATATTATTTCTCATGCTCATGGTGATGACAGACAGGATAGGTGGTAGCATGTTTAGAAATTATCAGGTGTAAAGGTTTCTGAAACGAGCTATTTCTCAGACTGTCTCACAGTTATGCCACGTGGTCAGGTAATGGGAGAGTGCTTAACATGCCGCAAATTGAACTCACTCTCCCTGCTCCCACCGCTTCCCCCCCCCACTTCCCTCTCCCCCACGTGTCATATTCTAGGCTTGGACATCTGTGCAGATACTGTGGTAGGGAATAACATGCTGCGCGGCATCTCAGGCGGGCAGAGGAAGCGCGTGACCACAGGCGTGGCGCTGGTGGGCGGGCAGCAGGTGCTGCTGATGGACGAGATCAGCACGGGCCTCGACTCCTCCACCACCTTCCTCATCACGCGCTGCCTGCGCCACCTCACGCACCTCCACGCCGCCACCACGCTCGTGGCTCTCCTCCAGCCTGCCCCCGAGACCTACGAGCTCTTTGACGACGTGCTGCTGCTCTCCGAGGGCCACGTCGTCTTCCACGGGCCCCGAGAGCAGGTGGTGCCGTTTTTCAACCAGCTGGGCTTTGAGTGCCCCGAGAGGAAAGGCGAGGCGGATTTCCTGCAGGAGGTGACTTCTATGAAGGACCAGGGGCAGTACTGGAAGGGGGGAGTGGCTGGGGCAGATGGTGGGGTGGGCGGGAAAAGCCAGCCGTACCACTATGTGCCGGTGCAGGCGTTTGAGGCGGCATTCAAGGAGACGCAGATCGGCAAGGCCACTGCTGCCCACCTCTCGGTGCGTACCGATTGCTGATTTGCGCACATAATTCTCCTCCTTAGCCCCATGCTTGTCCCTTAGTCCCACGATTGTCCCTCAGCCCCACAGCTTTGGCACTCCTGCCACCCTTATTAACCCCCCCACTCCTATTTCCCCATCCTTCATCCCCCATCCCCTCCCCCAACAGGTGCCCTTCCCAAAAGAAAAGAGCCCTCCAGGTGCACTGGTGCATAAGCGCTACGCTCTCCCTACCTCAGAGAAGTTCCGCGCAGTCTTCGCGCGCGAGTATCTGCTTATGCGCCCAACCCCCATCTCCCATCCCACCTTATCCCCCCACCAGGTGCCCTACCCCAAGGAGAAGAGCCCCCCCGGCGCACTCGTCCACAAGCGCAACACCCTCCCAACCTCCGAGATGTTCCGCGCAGTCTTCGCGCGCGAGTTTTTTCTCATGCAGCGCAACTCCATCCTCTACGCAGCCCAAACCATCCAAATCATCCTTGTAGCTCTCGTCGCCATGACCGCCTTCTTCCGCACCACGCTCACCGTCTCCCTGCAAGACGCCAATTACTACCTCGGAGCCACATTCTTCGGTGTGGTCATGATGCTCTTCAATGGATTCACGGAGCTCCCGCTGGTCAACTTCCGCCTGCCGGTGTTCTACCGCCAGAGGGACGCGTTTCTGTACCCCGCGTGGGCGTGGGCCGTGCCTCTCGAGCTGCTCTCCATGCCCTTCTCCGCGTGGGCGTCCATCATCTGGACCACCTTTACGTACTATGGCATTGGCTTCGCACCCGAACCGGGCAGGTGAGTGGATGAAGTGGGTGAATCAAGTAATGAGTGGACGAACCGGGCGGGTGAGTGGACGAACCGGGCGGGTGAGTGGACGAACCGGGCGGTTGAGTGGACGAACCGGGCGGGTGAGTGGACGCACCGGGCGGGTGAGTGGACGAACCGGGCGGGTGAGTGGACGAACCGGGCGGGTGAGTGGACAAACCGGGCAGTTAAGTGCAATATTGGCCAGGTGGTTGGGTGCTGAGTTCGTTTCCGCTATTCTCATGGTCCTTTCCTCCCTCACCCACCGTCATGTTCCTCACACACCTTGCTCGTTCCCTTCCCTCCCCCCCTCCTTTTTCCCATCCTCTCCCACAGCTTCTTAACACATGCAGCTTCTTGCCGTTGATCTTCTTTTCCATCCACTCCATCTTCTCGTCATCCATCCTCCCGTATTCCCGTCTCCTTCCTCCGCTCCCCCTCCACCCCCCACTGCAGTTTCGCCGTGCAGATGCTGCTCTTCTTCCTCATCCACCAGCTCTCATTCTCCGCCTCATAGGGGCGCTGGGCCGCAACATGGTGGTCTCCACAACCTTTGCCTCCTTCCTTTTCCCCTCCCCCCCTTTTGCCCTCCTCCCACTGCAGGTTCTTCATGCAGATGCTGCTCTTCTTCCTCATCCACCAGGTCTCCATCTCCCTCTTCCGCCTCATAGGAGCGGTGGGCCGCAGCATGGTGGTTTCCACCACCTTTGGCTCATTCGCCGACATCCTCTTCGTCCTCATGGGCGGCTTCGTCATCGCAAAAGGTGCGTGAGACGCTCTTATAGCGCACCCTTGTCATAAGTATGCATAACACATGTCATAAGTAGTCATCTTCCTTTCTGAAACGCTTAAGCATGAAGATCTAGACAAGAAACTCCAAGTTTTTTATGTTCAACGAGAAGACAACGCCGACAATGACAATGACCCTGAAACTCATACAAACATGGATGACTTTGGTGACACTAATAAACTACAAGATGCGCATCTGCAGCTAGAAGATGATGATTCATGGCGGCAATGTTCTAAGGAGTTCTCGTCCGTGGGAGCTGAATGTTTTCGTGAAGGAATCTTGTTTCATGGAGTGAACATCAGATCTGAGTTAGCAGCTTCAGCTGCTGCTGCGACATCTCGTCGTCAGTCCCCGCATCGAAGATTGGGAGCCGTTCAAGCCAGTTTGCGTCACCCAAAACGTCCGACCACATATGCCATTGGAACCGGTTTTCACCGCATTCGTGCTAAATTGGCTTTCACAGCAACCACTCCTTTCGTCTTTCGCCTCAAGAAGGTGAAGAGTGCAACCACCCCAACCTACCAGTTTCGGCAAGGCAAGTTCGGCACCTGTATGAAGCAACAAGTACAGCATGTGGGATGCTCCAAGGTGTTTCTGCCAGGAGTGAGAAATGTCAAAGGCGTGAAGAGAATTCTGAACGGGCAGATTGCAATATTTAGGCACCTGACTTTTAAACCACCTTAGATGTTTCCGCGAGGGTACGGTACAATTGTACCCAGGCCCTCTAGCCCGGTTACGACCGTGGATGGTGTTTTTTGCATTGTATAATGTGATTTCACCTCCTTCAAAAAAAAAAAAAAAAAAAAAAAAAACACATGTATCCATGGCACGTGTATTCCGCACCACTCTCCACTCAATCCTCTCCCCCCCTTCCCACCTCCTCTCCACCTCTCCCTCCTCTCCCCTCTTATACAGCCGACATCAGCAACGTGTGGATCTGGGCGTATTGGCTCTCGCCTCTCATGTACGCGCAGAACGCCCTCGCTGTCAACGAGTTCCTCGCCCCCCGCTGGAACGTCGTGAGTGCTCCTGGGATTCCCATCCCCTCGGCTACTAGTGCTGGCACGTGGGGTTCCCATCTGCAACTGCTGGCATGCACACCCACACACACACACACACCCACCCCCCCACACACACACACACCCACCCACACATACACACACCCACCCACCCACACACACACACCCACCCACACACCCACCCCCACACACACACACACACACACACACACACACACGCACAAACACACACCCACACACACACACACACACACACACACACACACACACACACACACACACACACACACACACACACACACACACACACACACACACACACACACACACACACACACACACACACACACACACACACACACACACACACACACACACACACACACACACACACACACACACACACACACACACACACACACACACACACACACACACACACACACACACACACACACACACACACACACACACACACACACACACACACACACACACACACACACACACACACACACACACACACACACACACACACACACACACACACACACACACACACACACACACACACACACACACACACACACACACACACACACACACACACACACACACACACACACACACACACACACACACACACACACACACACACACACACACACACACACACACACACACACACCACACACACACACACACACACACACACACACACACACACACACACACACACACACACACACACACACACACACACACACACACACACACACACACACACACACACACACACACACACACACACACACACACACACACACACACACACACACACACACACACACACACACACACACACACACACACACACACACACACACACACACACACACACACACACACACACACACACACACACACACACACACACACACACACACACACACACACACACACACACACACACACACACACACACACACACACACACACACACACACACACACACACACACACACACACACACACACACACACACACACACACACACACACACACACACACACACACACACACACACACACACACACACACACACACACACACACACACACACACACACACACACACACACACACACACACACACACACACACACACAACACACACACACACACACACACACACACACACACACACACACACACACACACACACACACACACACACACACACACACACACACACACACACACACACACACACGTGTGCGCCAAGCCATGTGTGCGCCTGCAGCCTTGTGTGCAGTCTGCAGCTCCACGCATGTCCCTCTCGGCCACCATGGCCCACATGATGCTACAGAGCTGCTCATGTTTCCTCATCGCCCCTCCTATCCGCGCTCCTTGTGTTAACCCTTGTCTGTACCCCCTCTGCAGTCCGCAGGGCCGCTCTTCCCCTCCTCAGCCACCATGGGGCAGGTGTTGCTGGAGAGCCGCTCGATCCCAGCGGATGGCAAGTGGGTCGGCATTGGCGTGGCGGCACTCATCGGCTACATCCTGCTCTTCAACCTCCTCACTGTTGCCGCGCTCGCCTATCTTGATCGTAAGCTTTCAACACTGACTCTCCTCGTTTCAGCAGTCTGGCTCCATCCTACTCCTACAACCTCCTCACCTTGCTCGCCCTTGCTTCTCTTCGTTGTATAAGCTGTGAACCTCCCATGCTTGTGGTGGTGCTGCTGCTGCTATGCCCTCGGTGATTCTCCACTCGGCTCTCTTGCCACAGGCTTCCGGCTTGGGCCACACTCGCATCAACCACTCACCCCAACGCACCCACTCACCCTGAGCCCTTGATCTCTTATGCTGCTCTCTCTCCTGTGCGCCTCTCCCTGCCAGTGTGCAGCGTGGGACCGGCCGGCCGCAGCCGGTGGTGTCGGAGGAGCAGATAGAGGCGAAGCATGCCGTCCCCCCCATTATTGCTTGCTTCTCTCTTGCCCTCTCACCCCCCTTTCCCCCCCTCCAACCACCCCCTTTTGACTGCGCATCGTTGCAGCATGGGACCAGCCGCAACCGGTGGTGTCGGAGGAGCAAATAGGTGCGAAGCACACCTTCCTTGCCCTCTCTCACCTCTCCCCCCGCCTCCCATCCCCCATTTTTTTACTGTTCACCTCGGCAGCATGGGACCAGCCACAGCCAGTGGTGTCGGAGGAGCAGATAGAGGCGAAGCACACCGCCCGTACGGGCGAGGTGGTGGTTGCAGCGGGCGGCAACAGGAAGCGGTCCACCCGGCAGGATGCTGGCAGTGCTCTGGACCGCTACTGCACCAGCCACACAGGGGCCAAAGGTAAGGGGTTGTAGAGGTCTAGGTAGAGGTGAATGTGAGTGGTGTTGAGTGTCCTGGATCAGCTTCAAAACCGCTCCACGCACCTCTTTGGCCCCCTTCCAGACGTGGAGTCACAGCCCGAGTCCACGGAGGGCAAGCACGGCATGGTACTGCCGTTCGCGCCGCACTCGCTCTCCTTCCACAACGTCAGCTACTTCGTCGACATGCCCGCCGAGATGCGCGCCGAGGGCGCCCCCCCCGACGCGCGCCTGCAGCTGCTGCGCAACGTGTCGGGCGCCTTCCGCCCCAAAGTGCTAACAGCGCTGGTGGGCGTGTCGGGCGTGGGCAAGACGACGCTCATGGACGTGCTGGCGGGGAGGAAAACTGGCGGGTATATTGAGGGGGACGTGCGCGTGTCGGGCTTCCCCAAGGTGCACTCCACGTTTGCACGCGTGGCGGGGTACTGCGAGCAGAGCGACATTCACACGCCGCAGGTGACGGTGCACGAGAGCCTGCTCTTCTCCGCGTGGCTGCGCCTGCCGGCAGATGTGGACGTGGAGGTGAGGGAGGAGTTTGTGGAGGAGGTGATGGAGCTGGTGGAGCTTGATAGTCTGCGCGACGCCATGGTGGGGGTGCCGGGGGTCAATGGGCTCTCCACGGAGCAGCGCAAGCGCCTCACCATTGCCGTCGAGCTCGACGCCAACCCCTCCATCATCTTCCTCGATGAGCCCACCAGCGGGCTCGATGCACGGGCAGCGGCCATTGTGATGCGCACCGTGCGCAACACGGTGGACACGGGGCGCACGGTGGTGTGCACCATTCACCAGCCCAGCATCGACATCTTTGAGGCCTTTGATGAGGTGCGTGCGATGGAAGTTGGTGGCCCTCAAGTGCATCAGTTTATTTCTCACTTGCACTTCCATCCAACTCTCCATCTCGCCCCTCCCTTTCTCGTGTTGTTCTCGTGTTGTTTCTTGATTCTATGGTGTTTTTTCCCTCCCTTTCTAATTCTTCCCTCCCTCTCTTCTCCTCCCATCCCCCCACCCCTCTACCCCACAGTTGCTACTGATGAAGCGGGGAGGCGAGGTGATATACATGGGCCCCTTGGGCACGGACTCGCGGCTCATGATAGACTACTTCCAGGCCATCCCAGGCGTGCCGCCCCTCCCCGCCGGCTACAACCCAGCCACGTGGATGCTCGACATCTCCACGCCCGCCATGGCCGACAAACTCAACCTCGACTTTGCCGACATCTTCCGCAAATCAGACCAGTTCCGCCGCAACGAGGCGCTCATCGAGTCGCTCAAGACGCCCCCGCCGGGCCAGCAGGACCTCGCCTTCGCCACTCAGTACGCCCGGAGCTACGCATCGCAGTACACTGCTAACCTGTGGAAGCGCGCGCACATGTACTGGCGTGCGCCGGACTACAACGCGATGAGATACTTTTCCAGTGTTGTCATGGCGCTGCTGATCGGAGGCGTGTACTGCGGGCAGGGGCAGCAGCGCAGCACGCAGCAGCAGGTGCTGAACCTGATGGGCGCCATGTACACGGCGGCCATCTTCATGGGGTGGAACAACTCCGGCTCCATCCAGCCCATCGTCGCCGTCGAGCGCACCGTCTTTTACCGCGAGCGCGCCGCAGGGCTGTATGGTGCCATCCCGTACGCCCTGGCGCAGGGGGCGATCGATGTGCCGTATGTGTTGGTGCAGACGTTCATCTACTCGCTGATCACGTACGCGATGATCCAGTTTGAGTGGACGGCCAGCAAGTTCTGGTGGTACACGCTCTTCATGTTCCTCACGCTCTTCTACTTCACGTGCTACGGCCTCATGTCCATCGCCATCTCGCCCAACGAGCAGATCTCCATGGTCTTCTCTAGCTTCTGCGTCTCCTCCTGGAACCTTCTTTGCGGTTTCCTCATTGCGCGACCCGTGAGTGCTTTCTCATCCCTCAGCTCTTTGTTTCTTGCTGCGGTGGTGCTTGAAGGGATGTTTAAGCTTGAAGGGATGTTTAAGCTTGAAGGGATGTTTAAGCTTGAAGGGATGTTTAAGCTTGAAGGGATGTTTAAGCTTGAAGGGATGTTTAAGCTTGAAGGGATGTTTAAGCTTGAAGGGATGTTTAAGCTTGAAGGGATGTTTAAGCTTGAAGGGATGTTTAAGCTTGAAGGGATGTTTAAGCTTGAAGGGATGTTTAAGCTTGAAGGGATGTTTAAGCTTGAAGGGATGTTTAAGCTTCCATCCACTACCATGTGCTTCCATCCACTGCCATGTGCTTCCATCCACTACCATGTCCATATTTTGCTTCTCCCTCGTCCTTCCAGTATAAATGTTGCTTCCTAGGAAGTGCCACCTAGTTCACGTGAATTAAGCCATCCATTTGCAACCCTCGCCTGCCCCCATGCACTGCAGCACATTCCGGTGTGGTGGCGGTGGGCCTACTGGATCGACCCCATCTCCTGGACCCTCTATGGCCTCAACGCCTCACAGGTGATGCCCCTTGCTCCACAAGCGCTGCACACACGCTGCACACACGCTGCACACACGCTGCACACGCGCTGCACACACGCTGCACACGCGCTGCACACGCGCTGCACACACGCTGCACACGCGCTGCACACACGCTGCACACGCGCTGCACACACGCTGCACACACGCTGCACACGCGCTGCACACGCGCTGCACACACTCTGCACACACGCTGCACAAAAGCTGCACAAGTGCTGCGCACATGGTGCATACACACTTGGCTTGGTCATTCTTGGTCCTACTTTGCAGCATCCAACTGCTTAACATGCATGCAGCACACGCTGACATGCCGAGCTGCTCATGAGTTGACTTTTGAGTCTACTCAAAGTGAACATGCTTTCATGCCGAGCTGCTCATGAGTTGACTTTTAAGTCTACTCAAAGTCAACACGCTTAGGGCATGTTCCTACGCTCTTATCAGGCAAACCTCTTGTCAGCCTTGCCTGGTAAAAGTAGCGAGGGTTTTGGGGTTTAGGGGCCGTAGGAACATGCCCTTACATGCCGAGCTGCTCATGAGTTGACTTTTGAGTCTATTCAAAAGTCAACATACATGCTGAGCTGCTCATGAGTTGCCTTTTGAGTCCACTCAAAAGTCAACACGCTTACATGCGGAGCTGCCCATGAGTTGACTTTTGAGTCTATTCAGAAGTCAACACGCTTACATGCCGAGCTGCTCATGAGTCGACTTTTGAGTCTATTCAAAAGTCAACACGCTTACATGCCGAGCTGCTCATGAGTTGACTTTTGAGTCTATTCAAAAGTCAACATGCTTACATGCCGAGCTGCTCATGAGTTGACTTTTTGAGTCCACTCAAAAGTCAACACGTTTACATGCCGAGCTGCAAATGCTGCTCATGCTGGACTGCACACTGCACTTTCCCTGCCATGTGCACGCAGCCCCGGCATTGTTGTTCACTGCATGAGTTCCCATGGCTGAATCCATGCTGCATCACTACTCACCTCTATCTTCCCCTCATCACTGCAAATGCTGCTCATGCTGGACTGCACACTGCACTTTCCCTGCCATGTGCGCGCAGCCCCTGCATTGTTGTCCCCTGCATGAGTTCCCATGGCTGAATCCATGCTGCATCACTACTCACCTCTATCTTCCCCTCACCACCTCACCAACCTCAGCCTTTCTTCAATCACTCTGCACTGCCAGCCCTCCTAGCTTGCTCCATGCACAGCCCGCTCATCCCCCCTCCCCCTCTTCTTTCCTCCCTCTGCCCCCCGCTCCCTCCCGTGACCCCTTCCAACTACAGCTGGGAGATGTGACGACGACCCTGCAGGTGCCAGGGGTGACCCCGGACCCAACGGTGCAGGTGTATCTGGAGGAGGTGTTTGGCTACCAGCACTCGTGGCTCGGCTATGTTGTGCTTGTCAACATCGGATTCATCATCCTCTTCTTTACCGTCTTCGCTTTCTCAATCAAGAAGCTTAACTTCCAAAACCGCTAATGTTGTATTGCAAAGAAGTGTGTTTTGTAGATGGTTTGTTGGTGTTGTTTTGTTTTGTTTGTTTCATTTTTTTTTCCTTCTTTTGAGACTTGGTGGTTTTGTTGAGTTGTCAGCCGAAACGTACTGTGAGGCGTGCACTGTATTGCACACCCTTTTACATGCTTCTCTAATCTAGAGACAAGTCGACAAAACCCGCTGGGAACAAGAGATTTAAGCGCTTCTGCTGTGTCGAAACACCAAGTCGTAAACGAAGCGAAGCACAAACGAAACATCGGCGAGTCAACCATCGGAGGTTGAAGACTGAAGTAACCGCTATGTCAGAATGTGATGTTTGTCTAGCCTGCAGTGGGGTACTCTATAGCGAGTACAGCCCGAATTAGGGTTTGCTATATGTACTCAACTGCTTGCTAGTGGAAACCCTTCTTTCCTGTTTCTAGCTTGTTGTGCCTGCTATTCCGACATGCTATCATAGTAGGTCGACCCTCCTAGGTCGATCCTGTGGATGGGCCCACCGTTAGCTTCCGCTGCTGTCCTGCCTATCGCACGCCTTGGGCGCGCGTCGTTTTTCTGCCTGCCGCGCGCTCGGGGCGCGCGGCGTTTTATTTTTCTTCCCGTTGCGCGCTCGGAGCGCGCGGCGGTTTTCTGCCCTGCCCGCCGCGCGCCCCGGGAGCGCGCGGCAGTTTCCTGCCCCGTCGACCCGCGCGTCGCCCCCGTCGCCCGCCGCCGCACCCCCGGAGACCCGCATGTAGCCCCCGTCGCCCGTGTTAGAATCTAGAATAGAACGAGAATGATGAAACTAGGAATGATGGGGATACAAGTAAGCAACCCTAGCAAAGTTGTACCCCATAAGGCTAAACCCACTATAGCCTACACAACATAAACATATAATGTTTGACACACCCCCATAGGCTAAGTGGGAGACAACCAGATGGTCACAAGACCAGTCAAAGTAAAGCAAAGCAAGTTCAGGGTGGATCTCAGGGAAACCACACAAATTCTGAGCACAAGCAAGTGGTCACAAGACCAGTTCACATGCAGGTTGATAACATAACAAGAGATACGGTGATCACAACCTAGCAAGAGCAGGCATGCAGATATATATATAGAGATCACAGTAAAAGCAGAGTCAAGAAGTAAGCAAGTGAGGACCAGTAGGCACAAGGCCTAGAACAGTACAGAAGCGCTGATGGTCACAAGGCTGAAGCGCCTTGGTGAACACATCAGCAGTGTTGGCCCGAGTGGCCACGTAACGCAGACGAAGCTGACCGCGCTGCTGCAGCTCTCGAGCAAGGAACTAGCGCAGAGCGATATGCTTCGTTCTGTGCTCCAGTCTGTGCTCCTCACACAAGGCAATGGCAGCCTTGTTGTTGACGTACAGTACTGGAGGAGAACGAGGCCGCTCTCCCAAGTCGGTCAGCAGGTAGGTGAGCCAGCATAGCTCCTGTGCAGCCATGGCTGTGGCGTAGATCTCAGCATCACAACTGGAGCTGAGAATAGAAGACGAGCGTGTAGAACGCCAAGAAACTGAACCAGAGCCAAGGCTGAAGGTGTAACCCTGAGACGACCGCTGAGTAGCCTGGTCGTCAGCCCAAGAAGCGTCTGAGTGCCCAGTAAGTACAACTCAGTCTCATCCTCCAAGCACTCCTTCCCTCCCCCCTCCCCCGGACTTCCTTGTGCCGGTTCCCCCCCCGGTAGACCCCCTCCCCCCTCAGGTTCCTGCCCCCTCAGGTGTGTCCCAGGTAGACGCCGTTGACCCGGTCGAGGTTACTGGTGACTCTGGTGCTGTGGGCGGGGGTGCTGAGCCTAGGGGTGCTACTGCTGGGGGTGCTGGGCCTGAGGGTGCTACTGCGGAGGGTGCGGAGCCTAGAGGTGCTGAGCCGGGGGGTGCTGTGCCTGGAGGTGCTGGGTCTGGGGGTGCTGGGTCGGGAGCTGCTGCGCCTGGGGGTGCTGAGCTGGGAGCTGCTGAGCCTGGGGGTGCTGCGTCTGGAGCTGCTGAGCCTGGGGTTTCTCCTGCTGCTGCGTCTCGCCGGGAGCCCCTCTCTCCACAGGAGCTGCGCGAGTGGTTCGCTCGCCGCTGGAGGCGTGCTGCTGAGTCTGGAGGTGCTGCTGGAGCTGGAGCTGGAGCTTCTTCGACCGTCGAGGGTGCGGGTGCTGCCGGTCCCGGAGCTGCTGGACCTGCGGGTCCTCCTGGAGCTGGAGCTGCTGAGGGCGTTGGTGCTGAGCCTACTGCTGTTGGTCCTGCCGCTGGAGGTGTGGGTGGCACTGGTGCTGTCGCTGAGGGTGCTGGTGCTGTCCCTGCTGCGTCTGGAGCTGCCGCGCGGCCTCGGCCGTACTTCGTTCCGCTCCTGCAGCAGGTTCTTGGTCTTTCTCCTCCAGTAGAGGGTCCACCGCCTGTCCAGTCGCAGTCCCTGCTGGAGCCTTCCTCTCCACTGCCTGCTCCCTCTCCTTACACTGGTCCTACTGGAGGTCTTGCTGAGCGTCGTGAGCCTGCGTCTCGTCCCGCGTCGCCTGTTCGTGCTGCTCGCGCTAGTGGTCGCAGTTCGCGTCAGCGTCCTCCTCCTGTCCCTGGCACGCACCGGATGTCTTTGCGTCCGTCCACTACTCCTCTGCGTGCCCCTTTGCCTTCTCCTCCTGAGTCCTCTCTTCCTGCGCTTGCCGACCCTGAGTCGGACTCTCTTCGTGCTGCCAGTCCTACTGTCACGCGTCTGCTTGCTACTGTCGTCACTGACCCCTCTTTTGAGTCCACTGCTGCGTCTGCTCTAGTCGCTGAGCTCGTCGACTTTGCTGCTCGCTGTCGTCTCGACTACGCTGCTAGTCTTGTTGCTGAGTCTGCGTCTGTCTGTCCTCCGTCCGTCGGGGGTGAGTGTGCTCTTGGCACGGACGTCCTAGAGGACAGGCAGGAGGAGTTACAGTGTCTAGCGGCTGCTTCACCTCATCTCGCGTCTGTACTGCTTGCCCCTGAGGGAGACCCGGATGCACTAGACATCCCGACTCCGCGTTCTTACGCGGAGGCCGTAGAGGGTCCCTACTCCTCTCAGTGGCAGGCAGCTATGGATGCAGAGATGGCTTCCTGGAAGTCCACAGGCACCTACGTTGATGCGGTTCCCCCTCCTGGGGCGAACATCGTCAGTGGCATGTGGATCTTCAGGGTGAAGCGGCCGCCGGGCTCTCCACCTGTCTTCAAGGCACGGTACGTTGCTCGTGGCTTCAGTCAGCGGCAGGGAGTTGACTACTTTTCGACCTTCTCTCCCACCCCGAAGATGACTACTCTTCGGGTGCTGCTGCACATAGCCGCTCAGCGCGACTACGAGCTTCACTCTCTCGACTTCAGCACTGCGTTCTTGCAGGGTAGCCTGCACGAGGAGATCTGGCTTCGCCGTCCACCTGGCTTCACTGGGACTTTCCCTCCTGGCACCCAGTGGAGCCTCCGACGGCCAGTCTACGGTCTCCGCCAGGCACCGCGTGAGTGGCACGACACACTGAGGACTACGCTTGCGGCTCTTGGGTTTGCTCCTTCTACTGCTGACCCGTCGCTGTTTCTTCGCACCGACACTTCCCTGCCGCCGTTCTACATCCTCGTGTACGTCGACGACTTGGTCTTTGCCACAGCGGACACTGCTGGACTCGCCTACGTGAAGTCCGAGCTGCTGAAGAGACACACGTGTACAGACCTGGGTAATCTGCGCAGCTACCTTGGCTTGCAGATCACTCGGGACAGAGCACGCCGCACCATTACCTTGACTCAGTCACACATGGTGCAGCAGGTCCTTCAGCGCTTCGGCTTTACGTACTCCTCGCCTCAGGCCACTCCTCTGCCTACTCGCCACTCACTCTCAGCTCTGCCTTCGGATGAGTCCGTAGAGTCGAGTGGTCCGTATGCAGAGCTTGTTGGCTGCCTCATGTACCTGATGACCTGCACTCGACCTGACCTTGCATACCCTCTGAGCATTCTTGCACGCTATGTTGCTCCTGGGAGACACAGACCGGAGCACATGGCTGCAGCGAAGAGGGTATTGCGCTACCTGTGCAGTACGTCGGGCATGGGGCTAGTGCTTGGAGGGCGTAGTCCAGTGGTCCTTACCGGCCACGCGGACGCTTCTTGGGCTGACGACCAGGCTACGCAGCGGTCGTCACAGGGTTACACCTTCAGCCTTGGTTCCGGCTCTGTCTCGTGGCGGTCTACTCGCTCGTCTTCGGTTCTCGGCTCCAGTTGTGAGGCTGAGATCTACGCCGGGGCCATGGCTGCACAGGAGCTTCGCTGGCTCACCTACCTGCTGACTGACCTTGGAGAGCAGCCTCGTTCTCCTCCAGTGCTGTACGTAGACAACAAGGCCATGCTGGCCTTGTGTTGAGAGCAGCGCTTGGAGCACAGAACGAAGCACATTGCTCTCCGCTACTTCCTTGCTCGTGAGCTGCAGCAGCGTGGTCAGCTGCGACTTGCGTACGTGGCCTCTGAGGCCAACACTGCTGATGTGTTCACCAAGGCACTCGCGCCTTGTGACCATCAGCGCTTTTGCACCCAGCTGGGTCTTGTACCTGTCTTGCCTCACTTGCTCTCCTCTTGACTTCACTTGTACTATGACATATATATATATACCTGCTCTTGTTTGTCTAGTTTTATATATATGTCTGTACTCCTGCATGTGAACTGGCCTCTGGCCCTGCTCTTGTGCTCGGACTGTGTGGTGACTTTGTGATCCACCCTGAGCTTGCTTTGCTTTGCTTTGCTTGACTGGTCTTGTGACCCCTTGTTCTCCCCCACTTTGCCTATGGGGGTGTGTCAGATTATCATAGTTGATGCATGTTTGTAGGCTATAGTGGGGTAGCACATATGGGGTACAGCTTTCTAGGGTTGTATTTGTACCCAACCCTGACTTAGTCATTTTCATTCCTGTTCACTTGTTTCACATACACAAGTAACGCAACACCCTCTTAGCGGCATCCATGTGCTCCTTTCAGTGACGGCTAGAAGCGACATAGCGTGCAAGGATGCTAAGAGG